GGGCCCCCTGGTCGGCTTAAGCAAGGAAGGGTATAAACAGGAGACTGATGGTAGATGTGAGGCAAGGATATGTGGGAGTCGGACACTGTGGAGAGCCTAGCCTCCTCGCCACACAGAAGTTTCCTGGAAATGAGAGTAGAATTTTTTAAAAACATTTATTTGGGACGTTCAATAAACACTACTGCTGCTTTCTTTTGTTTTATCCAAGAGTTCCAAAGACTTGATGCAAGTGTATAAACTGCCCCAAAGTCCATTAAACTGAGCGCATCTTGATTTTGTTATTTACAATAGAATTATATTTCAGTATATTTTTGCATTGCAACAGAATGGTTATATACCTAGATGCTTCTGTTAAAGTTGTAAGCACAACAGGTTATGAATTACTCTCAAGGGATGGATGTGGACATTGTAAAAAATGCATAAAAGCAGTATCATGTGAAGTTACATTATTACCTGTAGGACAATATCTCCACGTCCAAAGCCATTTTCACATTTAAGAGATCCTGGTACTCCCGCAGATAGCCAGACATATCAAATTTGCAGTTTATGAGCTCATTTTCAAGCTCTTTGATTGTATTCTGGCAAAAGAGGAGCAAATGGTAGTTAGGTTACTCAGTTAGGAATGCACGTGAACGCAACTCGGCAGAGAGGAAGTCCTACCTGGTAGTGAATAACTTCCTCCTTGTGGCGATCCTCTATATCGTGAAGTTGTTTCTCCAGCGCTTCTCTGGTGCCTTTAGCGCAGTCCAGCTCCACGTTTTTGCTCTGCAAGCGCCTCCTGGATTTCTGGATCTCTTGTTGGGTCGCTTTCAAAGCCTCTCTTTTGGCTTCGGCTGCCTCTGTTAATCTTGCAAACTGGGATCGGAAACTCTCTCCCTTCAGCTGCACGTCGGACACGGTCTGACCTTCCAGCTGGGCCCTTATTTCGCGGAGTGCCGCAGTGATGTCAGGGTGGCCAAATTCGGGCTCTCTCACATGAACCTGCGCATTCTTGATTTGTTCGAACATCTCCGAAACCTCGTCCTCGTGATTTTTCTTGAGGAAGTCCATTTCATCCACGAGGGACTGCGCTTTCTTGTCCAGCTGCAGTTTAGCCTGATAAGCGTCGTTAATATCCCTCTTGATGACCATGATGCTGCCCTCGGCATCTGATCTGCTCCGCGCTTCCCGCTCATACTGGCCTCTCAAGCTGGAGAGCTCTTCCTCTAAATTCTGATGCTCGATCTCAATCTGATGCTTCTGGCGGGTGATGTCTTGAACAAGCTGCCTGAGTCTCTTGAGCTCTTGTCCATACTCCTCCTCCAAGCAGGATGCGGGTTTCGCCTTCCCTCTGATTTCTTCTATTTCCCTCTCCAGCTGATGATTCTGATGCTCCAGCTGGTGCACCTTGTCTATGAATCCGGCAAGGCGATCGTTCAGCCCGTGCATCAGTTCTTTCTCATTGAGCTTTCCGGATAGTGGCATGGTCGAATTGATGTCCGTGGGCGTCCTCCTCGTCACAAGGCTGGTTTCCGATCCGGACGCTCTCGGCTTGTGTTGTGCATATAGTGCACCTCTGTGGGGGGTGTCGTACCTGCTATCCATGCCGGACCTCGGGCCGTCGACAGGGGTCTGTGGTGCAGGGGAGACTCCGCGAGGGCTTTTATGTCCTCCTCCATCTGCCCCGTGTGCAGAACGGAGCTGTCCGCGGTGCTGAAAAGGTGTAGCATCAGCTGATGTGTTAATGAGCGCTTACACCACACTTTGTCGCAGACTGCAGTGACGTGTTAGATCCCTCTCCAGCCGTCAACCCAAACAGTAGTAACCCTTACACACACACTATGTCGTCTTATGGATCTTGCATGTTTTTTGTTTTTTTTTAATCGGAGCTCTTTCCTGAACGTTCACAACATTGAATGAAAGGTTCATATGTTGTTGAATCACATATTGTGTGTGATCTATGTACAGGTGTAAATGGTTAGATTCGTCATCCAGTGAAAAAAATGCATATTTTGTGTTGAGAGAGGTGAAAATGGCTTTGGTGAGCAGTGGCAATACTGATGCCCGAAATTGTACTTGTGAGGTTGGTGCAAAACCAGTATAGATGACAAGGACACATTTGTCTTTAATCTCAAAGTTCAATGTGCATTTATCTGTTACAAGTATAATTTCCATACATTTATTCAGTATCACGCACTAAACAAAACAAAAAGTGCAATTTAAAAGTTAGCGTTTAATGGCAATGGTCAGCCCATCCCCGACTGTGATCATGCTCAGCTCAATTCTCTGGTCCTTGTGCAGCTTCTTATTGAGAGCATCCAGAACCTGGGATGTTAGGTCATTGGGAGCAGGATTCACAACCCTTCCGCTCCACAGCACCTTCAATCAAGTTAGATTATTAACAGCATATCTGGTTAATTCTGTCCATGGTCCAAACAAGTGGAAGAGCCTGGACTTAACTTACATTGTCGATTGCAATTATGCCTCCTTTTCGTATGAGCTCCAGGGACTTCTCATAGTATTCGTCATAGGTTGATTTGTCGGCATCAATGAACACGAAGTCGTATGTTCCAGCTTCTCCAGCCACTATAAGTTCATCTGATGAATGGGAAGTTAAAGTTAAAAAAAGGATCCAAATCTTTTTCCACAAATTTCAGGCAAGAGAATACACTTACTCAGAGTCTTCATTGCTGTTTGAAGTCGTATGTCTATCTTTTGTTCAACTCCAGCCTATGGAAAATATTAAACAGAATCAATTGATAGTTGAAACAAGGACTTTCCCTCTTCATTTTTAACATTTGATTTTAATTGAATGTTTGGGAGGGTGGTAACAGGAATTGCTTTTACGGCTTGATTCTGCATCGATACGTATCACACTTCCCTGAGCCGACACCTTTAAACTGTCCAGCTTGCGGGATTTTGTGGAGACATACTGACAGTAGTGGAATGTACAGTTTGCTGCCTGTTGGGCAGATTTGCTCTGACAGATGCTATAATCAATCTACCAAAACCTGCAGAAATAGCAAATTCCCCAAAATGGCAAGTTCCAGACAAAAAAAATGTTTTAAAATATTGTAATTTAAGGTAATAAAGTGAACTTCTTAAAAAGTCTTGTCCAAATTCCAAGCAATCAATTTATCTTACCTCTTTAAAGAAGGGTTTAGCAATCTCCACATAGGTGTCTTCTATTTCACAAGCTACAACCTGTCCACTCTCTGGCATGGCTAAAGCCATACTCAGTGCATTGTACCCTGTGTACATCCCTGCACAGATTTCAATGTTTTAGTTATTTTAAAGTAGTGAAAAAAAAGATAAAGTGTATTATAAAGCTGAGGGGTTCAGAGGAGCACTTTCTAAAGTTTTCAGTCAGTCATATTTATTACGTTATATTTCAAATAAATTGATTAAACTTAAAGTAAAGTCTGTTCATCTAGGTATAATAATATAGCTTGTATTTCACGATAGGATTTTAGATCATTTTAAATATTTGCAGCTTGTGTCTTTGTGTCTCTTTTATTTGAACTTACCAATTTCAATAGCTTTTGTTGCATTAATCAGTTTAATCAGATTTGCCATAAACTGGGCTTGCTCACTGGCAACCATCATGACATTATACTGGTCTTCAAGGGTTCTCTGAAATGAAAGTATAAAACAGTTTTACACAAATCATACAAAAGTGGTTCTAGATGTGCCGACTTGGCCTTCTCCTTCAACTTCATGATCTCATAATTTATTTTTTCTTTCTTTTTTCTGGTAATGTGCTGCCCTCTAGTGACCAAAACCTTACGTCTCTGGATCGTCCGCCTGAGACAAATAATATCCAGTTTTAACAAGACAAGAAGATAATGGAACATTTTTTTATTTCATCAGTATTTCTAGCTGAGGAATAATATTGCATTTCTAATGAGCACATATTCTGATCAGGAGTTATTTTTCATTATTTTTTATTTTTTACTGGATCAAGACCAACTCCTAAGCAAAGTAAATAAAAGTTTTATAAGATCTGACAAAGATTTGTTCAATTAAATCTCCCCATGTTCTGTAGTGACTCATAACAAACTTAGTATTGTTTTTATTTTGAGTCTTTAAGGAAGTACTCTTGAATGACTGTTATTTTCTGGGTTTTTACTTTGTTTTTGTTTTCACGGTTAGTAAACTGTTTAAATGATTTACACTTGAGTGTAAGAGTAATAATGGCCCATTTATCCAAACATTTTAATAACGGTCATTAAGAAATTATGGCTAGCCATGAAGTCAGTGACTCAGCCGTCATTCGGCTCAGAGTGGTCAGGTTGTGGTGGTTCTTGTGGTTTCTTTACCAGTCTGAGTTGGGTCAGGACCGGATGCTCCCTCAGAGAGTTGTTAACTACATACTGCAGCACAGGATCGTCTTTTCCTCCACTATGGCTCTTTCCTATAATGGTGGACTCCCCCACACCTAAACAGCAAGACAGAGCAATCAATTATTCAAAAATCCTCAGTCGCAAAGCATTCATACATGTGGAAATCTGTATTTCACTCTTCCCATACCTGTTAATACGACTGCATACCAAACGCAGAAGAGCATCTTAATGTCTGCGGCCATAGTGTTGAGGGCTCGGGCCTTTGTTCAGAAAAACACAGAACAGGATTTGAATCCAGTGAGGTTGTCTCCGTTAGTGTGTGCTGTGCAGTGTCATCTGTGTTTGTTTTGGTTAACCTTTAGAAGTAGAGGTTCAGGCTATTGATTTTTTATTTAACGTGCATACATTGCAACATATCAGTTAACAAATGCAAAATCATCTGAAAGAATTAAGAACAATGCATAATAAGAAACACTGGCATCTGTGTGTAACTTAGAAAATGTTTGAGTTTTAAAAATTGCTAATTTATGTTGTGGACTGGCAGGGCACTTTTATCATAAAACAAAGCTGTGCTTGACAGTCTTTACTTACTGAAGCCCTGAATCCAAAAATACTTCAGTCAGTGATGTTGTAATACACAGAAGCACACTTTGATCAGTTTATCAGTGTTAGTTGTTCTGTACTGCGGTGTTACTTGGCACCATGCATAACAGATTAACTAATTTCATTACATTATTTTAAAAATACATACCTTTTCATTTAAAAATATTCTAAAAGTGGATCAAATGAGTTCCATCCTACAAAAGACTGAACTGATTCTGTGCCAGTTTCATTGAGATGCTGCATTTTGACAGGAGCTTATCTTGTGAAAAAGTGTCCCAGTATTAAAACCCTTTTTCTGAATTACTAAATGATCTGAACAGTTTTGACAGCAGTCACTTGCAAGTCAAAGAGTTCGGATGTGCTCTCTGAGCAAAATAATTTTTTTAAAGAAAAAAATGCAGCTGATGAAAATGTTTAAGATAAACTAATGCTGGCGCTGTGATGGACTGGACGACTGTCCAGGGTGTACCCCTCCCCTCGCCCACTGACCACTGGTTAGGCTCCAGTCCCCCCACGACCCCATTAGGGAATAAGCACTTACGAAAATGAATGGATGGATAAACTAATGTTTTGCTGCCACCTAGTGGCACAAGGTGATAAAAGCCTTTGTTTGTGTACCGGTGTACTGCACCAAATGGGTGCAAAACCAATAGACAACAGCTGTTTCTCTTGAGTTCTTTTTTGAACAAGGTATCATCTAACCTTTATCCATAAAATACTCAAAGAAACCTGGTAACAATTTACTTATTTTGATGTTTTATGTATTTTTATGTATTTTATGTTTTATGTCAAGCAAACATTCAGTTTACAGGTGCTCTAAAGATAATGGATATTCCATAATATCTATAGTGTACAGTAGAAATAATGTCCCCACTTATTTAGAATCTTTTTGTACATTCAAATGCACAGAGACTCGTCACAACCTATCCAGCCTGTCAAACATTCTATGACCATGGCGTTGGCTGTCACAAATTAGCATTAGTAGTACCGGGTTACAACCACATAATACCCATTTCATTTCTAAACTGTTAGTCATTCACGCATTTGTCTTAATCTCAAAGTCTCCTCCTCCTTCCTCCTTCTCATGAAGACTTTGTGGTTTCATAAGGACAAATTCTTTTATGTTTGAATGCTCTCATGAGTCATTTTTCCCTCTGTGCCACTACTTGTTTTAATGGATACAAATCAAATGTAGGACTTTTTATGGTGAGACCAGAAAAACTCTGTAAAGATTATGAAAAGATTATTATTTCTCTTATAAGGACAACTAAGTGAAAAACCCAAAATGCAATTAAATTGTCCTAAACAGACTGTCATTTTATACCTCTAACCTGGTTCACCCTAAAAAAAAAAGAAAGTGACATTTTAAAATATAACCTTCCTGCCAAAAACTCTCTGGTTGTTGTAAATTTTGGCAGGTGACCGCCGCACACATCTTGACAACCTGCCACTAACCTAAGGTTGAGCTTACCATTTACAGCAGACCTGACCTGCCTTGATAGCTCTGAATGATTCTGAAACACATTCAGTCCTAAAGTCCCATGTTTACCCTCTGAACTGACACAAATTTCACCTTTAACTTAATGATAGCAGTTCAATTTGTATAACTTGTAGCAGAAGAAATAATATAGTCTTGAGCTTGAGTGATAGATGTGAAATACTTGAAGCTATGAACTTTAAAGAAAATATTCCTTTTTTATTTTCGATGTTTAGATGTTTCTTTTATCTTATCGGTAAAGGATTTAAAGTTTAATGAGCGGTGTTCCAGACCAAGACTGGTAGAGTGTGTTTTAAAGAAGGATTATTTCCTTTTTTTCTTTTTTTTGTTATATCTTCAGAAGTAGAACCTGGAATAAGGTAGCCAGGAATGTTCAAAAAGGAATTCTGGGGATGTGAGTGGGATCCAAAGCCTCTCAAAGGACACAGAGCTTCCTCTCTCTATTCCCTAGTTAAGAATGCACAGATACAAACAAAAACATGCAGATGACAAGAGTGGATCACTTAAATGAGCCCTGACACAAAGAGTCTCCAGAAAAAACAGTTTGAGCGGTGGTGAGGAAAGGAAGAGGATGTCTCAAAGTGTGTAAACAGTTCTACTTAAGTTCTCCTGGTGAAAATTAGATGCCGTGTTTCTTTTGCACCATATTCTCCCTCTCTCCCTCTGACTCCCGCTGCTTCAGGCCTCTGCTTATGTGACGCTAATTGTTTCTGCTACTTGTGCCAAGTACCTACTCTTCCCCAGAACATCCTACAGACAGGCCCTGGTCCCTCAGCTGCTTTTTGTGTCTGTTTAAGGAATGAAAAAATGTATGCTGCCATCTGCGGCGAGCACACCACTGTTCCCCCTCCCGGCCGTGACTGTCATGGTGCCACAATGATACGCGTTCACGCACTCTCTCTGAGGTTGGTAAAAAAAAACCTATGTGTTAGAGAAGCAAGAAAACTAAACTGACACATACAACTGCTAATATGAAACAAAATAATTCAAGAGGTTCCTGTTTTGATGCATCGCACATGTGGGAAGGAAGATTGTGTACATCAGAAAAAGACTTTTTAATATTGCAAAGCTTGTAGAGAATACATTTATGTATGTGAAAGGCCTGTATCAATGTATAGGTGAGTTTGCAAGTGAAACATCAAAAAGAAGTCCCTGAAATATGTCTATGTAGATTTTAAATTTGCACTTCAATGGACTTGAGCCCTGTCCAAGGTACACGCTAATTTTTACCCGATGGCTGCTGGTATTGGCTCCAGCCCCCTTAAAACCATTAATTGGAAGAAGCAGGCAAAGGAACTGGATGTATGGATATATGGGGTCTTTCACACACACATATCCCCCATTTTCCTTCTTTAGTACTGACCTGTGACCAGCAAGTGGCAGTGTTGTTTAGCAAATGCATCGTGCCTTTCCTTGCACAAGCTTATGAATCAAGGAGATTCAGGCCTGTCTGGTAAGTAATATCACTTTCCTTTTGTTGAATTGACCTGTGACACCATCAGAGACTATATAGGCACAACATATTGACAGGCTTGTAACGACACATGGATGTTACATCACCCATGTGTTCATCACAGGGAGACATCCTCCTCTGCATTTTAACAACAAAAGTCAGCTTGGCTACGTCTCAGCAGTCAGATAAGCATGCATGAATATTAAGTGATGCTAATCACAATGGAGAGACCAACGTCAAGAGAGCCGGCAGACAGTTCTCAGTATTCCGTTGACATGGTGAGATTTGTCCTCTGTTTGACGGCCGCATCTCCCGACATGACAAGTCTGTTTAAAGCTCACATACATGCAAACCGGCACGCACGATTAGCCTGACATTGATTTTACTTGAATTGGGCCACTGCCTGTTTGTGCACAAGTCTTGTATATTTCCACACATGCATTTGCAAATATGGCATCACTTTATGTAGGCCATTCAAAAGGTTGCAGAATGTTGATGAGGATAATGCAAAATATCCCCGAGAACTGTTTTTCAATCATTAAAATCTGTATTTACTGCTTCTGTGTTAAGCAGTGGTGTATTTTGAAGCGAGGATGTTGAGGATAAGCCAGTCAGTTCATTATCATTCTTTCTTTGTATGTTTAAGCTTTACAGTACAAAGCAGTGGATCTGCTTCTGTGAGGAATAAAAAAAAAGAAATGAATGGCAGGTGTGGTTGTTTGACTTTTAAATCACAGAGGCATCTATTCTATTAGCCCGCTGTGTAAATAAAAACAGAATTCAATTTCCATGGAGTCACGCAATAAGTTGACAGTCCTCAAGAAGATCAAACAGGCTGCTTCAGGGCACGTGAGCCACGGGAAAAAAAGCGTTGGGTATATGAAAGGTGTTGACACCTTGAGCATGCTGAAAAAGAGACAAATGTCATATCCTCAGAAACAATTACTGGGTGAACCCCTGGTTTAAAGCCTGCAGTTCTCCCATTTTCATTCCATATCCGCTGGAGCTTCGCCTGCAACATCTGAAAGAGGTTGTCAGTCTTCTTAGTCAGAGGGCGAAGAGGTACTCGGCACTAATGTTTGAACTGTCCACTTTCGGAATCCTCTAATATAGTGTACACAAAAAGCCACATTTTTATTGACTCAGTTCAACAATAGCAATCTCAGTCTTTTCCTCACCCCATGTGCAAAATCACTACAAGCTCCACTCCTGTTAGTCACACTCTCATCTGATTGTCACGTCCCATTGTGACTGCACTTGAGGCACTAATGATAATGTTATAACCCAGACCAATTTGCCATGGCAATCAGACTCACTTAATTGAGTTGATTATAAGCTCCCCATCTGAGATGACCCCTCTGGACTCAGAAAAACTGAGCAGAAAGAAAAGGAGGGTGTGGAAGGAGGGGAAGGATTTCCTCAGGCATTCCATCACTGCACAATAGACACATGGGACATGACTGTTTGGAGGCATGAGCTGAGGCATATGCGTGTGTATGAGTGTGCGCATGATAAATCAGTGTGTGTGTGGGGTGTTGGGAGATGGCGTGTAGAAAAGGCAGGCCTTCGGGGAGGTGTAAAGAAAGAGAGGGGTGGGACTGCGGCTGGAGCAGAGGGTGGTGATAGTGGGGAGGGGGAAGGCTTTGGGCTCGGGGTTCGAAATCACAACATGGCCTGTGTAATAGACCAAGACACACACCGCATCTGAAGTTAATCCAATCAGGGAGAAGCACAGTGCTCTCATCTGCTCAAGACACACAAACATAAGGTCAAGAGCAGCTTGTATTAGTGCGATGA